GTAAGGAGTATAGAGGGCTTTATTTTTTTCAATCACCTGCTTTACTTACTGGTTTGTCATCTACACATAATTCTTCAAACGTGCAGTCTTCTAGTTTTGACTCTATTATGTCTTGTGACTCAAAACTGTTTGATTGTGGTCATGTATCTGAATGTATGACTACTACTTCTAGCAATAAAACAAGCATTTGGCATTCTCGTTTAGGACATGCTGCTATTTCGACCATGAATAAATTACCCTTGTTGCATTCTGTTAACTTGGATTCCAAACTATTGCATTATTGTCCTATATGTCCTTTAGCAAAACAAACTAGGCTTCCATTTCCTGTTAGTCTTACCTCTTCACAAGCTCCTTTTAACCTAATTCATATAGACTTGTGGGGTCCCTATCGAATTTCAACACATAGTGGTCATAGGTATTTTTTAACCATAGTTAATGATTTTACCCGTATGACTTGGGTGCACTTGTTGAGATTGAAGAGTGACACTGTTATTTCTCTTAAAAAATTCATCACTTTTGTCAAAACCCAATTTTCATCCACTGTTCAAATCATTCGCAGTGATAATGGCACTGAATTTTTTAATTCTCAGTGTTCTGATTTTTTTAGCTCCCTAGGTATTCTTCATCAAAGCTCATGTGTTCAGACTCCCCAACAAAATGGGGTTGCTAAATGCAAACACAGACATATTCTTGAAGTTGCAAGGGCACTTAGGTTTCACTCAAAAGTTCCTATCAAATTTTGGGGCGAGTGTATTACAACAGCTTGCTATATAATAAATCGCCTACCTTCTTCTGTTTTAAATTTTAAAACTCTTTTCGAGGCTCTTTACCATAAATCTCCTTACCTTTCTCATCTAAGGGTATTTGGGTGTTTATGTTATGCTACCAAGCTTAACTATAAAGACAAATTCTCTCCTAAGGCTATCCCTTGTGTTTTCATGGGATATTCTTCAACTCAAAAGGGGTACATTTTGTTTAGTCTTCAATCACAACAGTTTCTTGTGAGTAGGGATGTGGTGTTTCATGAAGTAATTTTTCCCTTTCATTTTCCTGTTTCAGAATCCTCTCCTTTTCCCCCTCACATTCTCATATTCCTGACTCTGATTTTTTGATTCTTGATTCTTCACTACCTATTGATTCTTCTCATGTTGATAATTCTTTAAGTTCTTCACATGAAATTCCTACTATGTCACCTATTGATTCTTCCAGTTCTTCACTACCTCTTGGTTCTTCACCTATTCCCTCCGTTTATCCATCTGATGTCTCAACAGGTGCATCTGGTAGTCCATTTAACTCTTCATCCAGTCCTTCTGAAGTTGATATTCCTCTTTTAGCACAGGATTCTTTTGTGTCTAGGCGTTCCTCTCGTGTCTCGAAGCCTCCAACCTGGTTAAATGATTATGTATGTTCTTGCCAATCCACTTCATCCTCTACTAATTACCCCGTTTCCAAGTACATTTCTTACTCTCATTTACCCTCACCCACTCAACATTTTTTTGCTTCTATTTCTCATATTCTTGAACCCACCACTTATCAAGAAGCTTGTCAACATCCGCAATGTCAGCAGGCCATAAGAGATGAGATTCAAGCATTGGAGTTAAATAATACTTGGACTGTAGTACCTTTACCTTCTGGTAAAATTCCCATTGGCTGCAAATGGGTTTATAAAATCAAGTATCATGCTTCGGGTGAGGTGGAACGGTTCAAGGCTTGGTTGGTGGCCAAAGGGTACAATCAAAAGGAGGGTGTTGACTATGTGGAGACTTTTTCTCCTGTTGCTAAACTTACCACTGTGAGACTGGTTTTGGCTCTTTCTTTAATCTTTGATTGGCCATTGTCGCAAATGGATGTTCACAATGCATTCTTGCAAGGAGATTTGATTGAAGAAGTCTATATGCAGTTTTTTGAAGGCTTTTCCAGCCAGGGGGAGCATATGGTTTGTAAGCTGCAAAAGTCTTTGTATGGGCTCAAGCAGGCTTCTAGACAATGGAACAAGAAGCTATCTGAAGCACTTACATCAGCAGGGTTCCAACAGAGTAGGCATGATTACTCGATGTTTACAAGGCGAGTAACAAGCAAGTTGGTGCTTGTGCTTGTGTATGTAGATGATTTACAGATTACTGGCAGTGATGCTACTATGATAGAAGAGCTAAAATGTATATTGAATTCCAAGTTTAAGATTAAAGATTTGGGTGAATTGAGGAACTTTCTTGGGCTGGAAGTGTTACGATAAAAAACAAGGATTGTTTTAAACCAACGCAAGTATGCTCTAGAATTAATAAAGGATGTCAAAGCAGGTGGAGCAAGGCATGCTTTAACACCTTTGGAACAGAATAATAATTTTTTGGTTGCCTCAGACACTAAGAGCTTGAAGAAAAGTACAGAAGATATGGTTGACAAGACACAATTTCAAAGGCTAATAGGCAGACTTATTTACTTAACTCACACTAAGCCTGACATAGCCTATTCGGTACATCATCTAAGCTAGTTTATGCATCAACCTGGAAAGGTGCATATGGAAGCAGCCCTAAGAATTGTGTGGTATGTTAAGAAGAATCCAGGGCAAGGAATTTTGCTAGACTCCTCTAGTACGTGTGGCTTGATTGCTTACTGTGATTCAAATTGGGCAACTTGTCCGATGTCAAGGAAATCTGTAACAGGGTACTGTATAAAACTTGGCAATTATTTGATTTCATGGAAGTCAAAAAAACAAAACACATTGGCTCGTTCTTCAGCAGAAGCTGAGTATAGAAGTATGGCTATGACCACAACAGAGTTAGTTTGCCTAAGTGGGTTGCTAAATGAGCTAGGAGTGAAACAGAACTAGCCTGTCAAGCTATTTTGTGACAGCAAAACAGCATTACAGATTGCATCGAATCCAGTCTTCCATGAAAGGACGAAGCACATTGAGATTGATTGCCATTTTGTTAGAGACAAGATTCAAGAAGGGTTCATCACTGCTGAACACATATCCTCAAGGGAGCAGCCTGCAGACATTTTGACAAAGGCACTCGGAACACAACATCATGAGTATTTGATAGCCAAGTTGGGGGTTACAAATGTTTTTCACCCACCAACTTGAGGGGGAGTGTTAAGATAGCAAATGATTAGTTAGTTTGTTAGAAGTTTGTTGTTAGGCTGTTAGAGAGTTAGTTAGAATCAGTTATTTTTAGCTCTTGTATTATTGCTTGTACAGTGTACTATATATTGCAGTTTAGCTTAATAATAATTAGTTCGAGGCATTATTTTAACAAAATGGAATAGTGATTGAGAAATTAGAACACACTGAGCCTTGAATCTCATAAAGATATTTTGCAGTGTAATGCTCATAATTTAATAGTCTTTAGGTTATCGATTTCATATTTACTATGAACATTAGTGTTTAATGTCTGTAAAAAGGAAGCTAATCTGGTTGTTATGTTTGTAGGAGCTCGCAATCGGGAGCAAATACATCAAGCTTCTACTATATCAACAGCGTGAACTTGTGATGGACATATCTACTCGGTAGAGCCCATATCCCGTGTAAGGTTAGTACGACTATTTTGGTTGCTGAGAATTAGGGGGAATGAATCGAGTTTGAACAAACAAAGCTTTGTTTGTGCACGTTTTTTTAAATATTCATGTTCGATTCGAGTTCATTTAAATCAGGGTTTCAAGTAGTGGTCCGCGACCGCGATAGCGCCCGCAAAATAGCGGTAGCACTACCTTCCGATATACCTGCTACATCCACAATAGCGCTCACTATATCCACAATCGCAGTAAACACGAAATGACAAAAAAAGCGACCGCGATTTGAAACCCTGATTTAATTTTTTAATATTGTTTTTGTTTATTCATTTTTATTTATTCATATTTAAAAGTGGTCGCGATAAAGAAAATGGTGAAATTACACCAGTAGTCCTTAATTTCCATGGATTTCGTAGTTTAAACTTCAAAGTTTACCGTATGTTCAATTTTGTCTATATATTCACCAATATTCAAAATTTAAAAAGATAAAATTAAAAGTAGTACCGAGTAAATTAGTTCATAAATGAGTCGATAACCAAGTTTGTTCATGAACATAAATGAATCAATCACACTTCTGCTTGTGTGTGTGGGTTTATTAAATGAACATAAAAGTTTTGTTCATACTCGTTTATTTAGCTTAATAAACGGATATTATATGAACGGTTCGCGAATAGTTCGTCTAACTCTTTGTTCATTTACATCCCTACTGAAAATGGAGCCTTAATAGAGGAATATGAACCTAGATGCCTGCATACTGTCAAGGTTAATTCTATTTAGATTTCATTCATTGACATTGATCTGCACTTTGTGTTGAGCTATTAGATTTTGAAGGGCTGAAACATGGTGTTAAAGACGTACTTATATCATTGTCGTAATAATGACAACACAGCATAGATTTTTGCTGGGAAACTTGCCAAAGTCGAACGTACAAATTAGGCAGCTCATTTCTTACTTCTTGGAAGCAGTCCTATTTCCCGTGTTGATTTTGTGGAAAAACAAGCCAAAGAATTTGCCCTTTTCTCTTATTTCCTAGTTGGACCAGAGAAAGCTTTCAGTCAGAGGAAACATACTACTCATGTTATTGGTAATTTAAATTTAAGGCAATTAATTTTGACTTCTAAACTAACTAATACAAATTATAATATTATAATAAGTGAATGTAGATTGCATGAATTTTGCAAATATTGTGTATATTTGAATTATACATCTTTAATCTTTCAAACACAAATCTTATGCACATTTGGATGTTAATATTTGTTGTGGACTCCCCTCTTAATGAAAAATAAGAACCCTTTTTCTGCCGTGTTGGAACTGTCATTTTGACTAAGACGCCCAAAAGAGTCTTTTTCCTTTGTCTTCTACCTCTGATTCAGACAACTGAAACTTCATTGCTAATGCAAACCAAGTAAGAAATTCCACTCGGCTTGTGGAAAGCGGCAAAATGCGAATTATAAATTCTGACAGATATTGTTCGTTGATGAAATAAAGAAGACATGGCTCAGCCTAGGTTTGTGACGGAGATTACCGGTTTCTATAGATGGTTCTTGGTTATGCTTCTTTGCATTGATTGCCAAGGCTGCTTAGAAGTGGAAAGAGCAGCTCTTCTACAAATCAAAGATTCAATGAGCAGTCCAGTGGAGTCGGCTTTCTCAAACTGGTATGGAGAAGAATGTTGCGAGTGGGAGGGCGTTGAATGTGATGCCACTCGTACTCGTATTCATAACATCTTCTTTCACTACTTGAGGGAAAAAAGCGATGGCGAGGTTGAACCGTGGTACCCAAACGCTACCTTGTTTGCTCAGTTTGAGGAGTTGCAGGAACTTGAACTGCCAGGGAATCATATTGGAGGATTCGTTTCGCTTCAGGGTAAACATCCAAGTGTATTATTTTCATCTTGCAGACGTAATTTTTTGTTCATAACTTCGTTTAAGATGCTCAATATTCGTGCAAATATTTATTACATAAACTTAACCAGACAGCTTAAATGTTAGTAATGTTGTGATAAAACCTCTGCAGCATTCAGAACACTGAAGCAGCTTCAAAAGTTGGATCTGCGTGACAATTCCATACGCAACGGCTCTAATCTCTGTTGGGGGGAATCTCCTTCTCTTTATTACTTGGATGTGTCTGGTAACAAGTTAGAAGGCAATATTCCTGATTGTCTGCCTGACAACTTGCTTCATCTTCAGCATCTGGATCTCTCTTACAATCAATTCAATGGCTATTTTCCTTCTTTGCTAATTAGCAATCTGAAAAATGTCGAGTCACTTTTTCTATCAAGTAATGAGTTTCAAGGCGTGATTTCGCTCTGCATTTTTGCCAATATGTCGAGGCTGAATGAACTTGATATTTCCTTCAACCACTTGGAAGTTGAATCAGAGATGGAGTCTCCAACTTGCTCTCCATCTTTCAGACTAAATACTCTGTCTTTAGGTGGTTGCAACCTCAAGAAAATTTCTCCATGGCTGTTTCAAAATATCACTTCAGAATTATGGCTAGGAGACAATAATTTGACTGGTCCCTTCCCCCAGAACATAAGCTCAAGGCTTACTTTTCTCGACATTTCTGACAATTTCTTGCATGGGACATTACCCAGAGATATCGGCCTGAATTTTCCACAGCTGCGCCATTTAGATCTTTCCAACAACAGTTTCAATGGCAATCTGCCCCTGTTCTTGGGGAACCAACTTCAGGTGCTGGACTTATCGGACAATCAGTTCCAAGGAGAAATTCCCCAAGGTATGGCAAGCAATATGAGTTGTCTGATATATTTGAGGTTATCCGGAAACAACCTGACAGGAGCTTTGTTTCCCAAAAACTCAAGTTTTACTAAATTAAGATGGCTTTATCTCAGCAAAAATCTCTTGTCCGGAACATTCCCACATGCCCTGTCGAAGAACATGGAGTTGGAAATTGTTGACATTCACAATAACAACTTATCAGGTGAGATTGCATCTTACTTGCCTGTCTTGCCAAAATTAAAAGTACTACTCCTCGGAGGGAACCGGTTCGAAGGGCGAATACCATCGCAAATTTGCCAAATGAGGGATTTGCATGTTTTAGATCTATCAAGAAATGGTCTTTCTGGTGACATTCCCGACTGTGTTGACAATGTTACTTCTTGGACGGATCCTCTTCCTTACTATAGCCATCCGTCTTACTACCGGAACAATATTGAGTTCGTCTTGAAAGGCCGACTAGTAACTTTTCGTATGCTGTTGTCATTATTTACGGGAATAGATGTGTCTTTGAATAAACTAACAGGGAACATTCCGATCCAAATGACACATTTGAGGGGGATTTATGTTCTAAACATGTCGAACAACCTTTTGACAGGTCAAATACCTTCATCCTTGGGAAACTTGGCAGTACTAGAAAGCCTAGATCTTTCACACAACACTCTCTTGGGTGTAGTACCCCCTGAATTAACTGATCTTTTATTTCTCGAGGTTTTTAACGTCTCTTTCAACAGTCTGTCAGGCATGATACCAACGGGACGACAGTTTGATACTTTTGCAAAGGACAGTTACATAGGCAATCCCGGCCTTTGCGGACTTCCAAGTTCAAACAAATGCAATGACAGTGCAGATACACCACCAGTTTACGCTAGTGCAGAGAAGTCGATTCTCAGTCATCTACTTTTGCTGTTTTGGTCTTTATTTTCTATTTCTCTCTCTTTAGCGTAAGATCGGAACCTGTAAGTCTTAAGAACCATGTATGGCGAACTGTTCATTCAGGAGGAAGGAAACGATGCCCTATTTTGCCACTGCCATAACACAATCTCCCACCGTTGCACTTCCATCACAGCAGTTTATTATAATATACCACAAACAATTTACTATTCATCATGTTTTATTAAGTAATAATTAAGGTTATATTTATATTAAAAATAAATTATTAAAAATGTTTATATCAGATATTTTAAAAGTTTAATAGACAATTGAACTCATCAAGTGACTTCGGTGGAAATATTATTTTCCACAATTAAAAAAAGTTTAATAGATAATTTAGCGGGTTCTTAATAATTTTTTAAATAATAATTAATATTCTATTTTGGTTCTTAATACTTTATATTAAAAACCAATTATATTTTTTAATAATTAATATTCTATTTTGATTCTTAATAATATTTTAGAGATTGTTATTTTCTTAGTATAATCATTTGATACACTTTGAGGATAATTTCACAAGCAATTTTAATCAATTACGTTTGGCATAGTTTTTATTTAAATATTAATTGAAAATACATGATAATAAATCAAAGTTTTTAAAGAAATTCTTTTATCGTTAATACGTCAAATAGTTTAATAATTCCTAACTTCAATATTTTTTCTATTTTCATAAATTTTTTCGCTCTATACATAATTTAATAATTATTTTATCTTATTTTGTAAAAATATTTTTTTGAAAATGTAAATAAGGACAATTTAATTAGTTGAACTTGTAATTAGTTTATCTTATATTCTCTCAATTAAAAATTATACATTTTAGTCAACTGAATTAAACAAAAAATTGAATGGCATAATAGTTAATTTATTTTTGATTTTATAGGGTTATCAAATGCAAAATTGGCAAATAATACACTCGGAAAAAAAATTAGTTAGTGCACCTCCAATATTATTAACTGAAATAAGGTCTCTTAAACAATATCATTAGAAAGACAAGAGAAGTGGAGGACATTTTTATAAAGATAAGAAGACGACACGACGTCTTTATGATTATGCATAAATGATGACAAAAAGAAAACGAAAAAGACCAATCATACAAGAAACATCAGAAAGATGTCATGTCATCCTCGCGTCTCTCCTGAATATGTAGAAGATATCATATACTTATCATGTCTTACCGTTGGTATTGTTCAAATAACTACATTTCATAAAATAATTCTTAAGGTGCATTATGTGAGAAAAAAAGTTCACTACCCTATCTAAACAATTTTACCTATTTTATAATTATTGATATAAATATAGATATTAATGAAGTGGTCTCAGTAATTTATAAAAATTATTTTCTTCTATGATTCGAAATGAAGGAATATAAAATATTAAAAATATATATAGCATAATAATGAACTTTTTTTATTTAAACTGAAGTGTAAATAAAAAATCAAATACTTTAATTCAACAAATTAAATACTAAAGAGAAAATCGCCTCAGTGACAAAAAATGCCTTATAATATACGATTTTAACCAACTTTTTCCGGATTTGCCAAAATGACCAACAAAATCGCAATGCGATCGCTAATTCGCAACGCGATCTCCATTATCGCAAATTCGCGTTGCATTTTGCGTTGCGATAGTTGGAAATCGCGTTGCGATGGTCTACAGTGTCGTTGCGATTTTCCCAATTCACAATGCGAATAAGTAAATCGCAACGCGAATTGGGAAAATCGCAATGCGATACTGACTATCGCAATGCGATACTTACTATCGCAATGCGATAATACAAAATCGCAACGAGATACTGACTTTCGCAACGCGATTCTGACTTTCGCAACGCGATTCTGACTTTCGCAACGCGATTTACATAGCGCCATTCGTATTAACGCGTTTTTTTTTTCAAATTCCAAACACGAATTGTTTCTTAATAAATCGGAAACTGAACCGTCCACAGTAATCGCAACTCATAACCTCAAACCCAAAATCACAACACTCAGTCCCATCTCCATCTCTCACTCTCTACGGCGAAATCCGTCCCCATCTCCGAAGATTTCCGTCCCCATCGCCGGCGAAATCCCTCACAATCATTCAGAAATGGAAAATCAACCTCGGAGGGTTAGTTTTGTTTTATTTTTATTTTGAAATTTTTGCATTATTTTAGGTTTTTCATATTGAGATTGATGATAAGTTTACTGGTAATTTCAATAATAGATTAACCATTTCACTTAGATTTCTTATTAAATTCATTCGATTGCTGCCAATACTGCTAAACTGTTTAGCCTGTGAAGTTATTATTTATCTTTATTTTGTCTTTTGGTTGAAGTAATGCAGAAGAAGAATAGTTTCGAGAATGAAAATCGCAACGCGGAAATAACTATCGCAACGAGAGAATCGCAACGCGAAACCAAAATCGCATTGCGATTTTCATTTCGCGTTGCGATTTTCATTTCGTGTTGCGATTCTTTCGTTGCGATAGTCATTTCGCGTTGCGATTCTCTCGTTGCGATAGTCATTTCCGCGTTGCGATTCTCATTATCTCGTTGCGATTTTCATTTCAACCAAAAGAAAAACAGTGTTGCAAATTTTAGTTTCAAGAATAAACTACTATTTATGTTTATTGTTTTTGGTATATATTGACAGTGTAGTTTTTGGTATATCTAACTTGGTATGTTTATTGTTTTTGTAGAAATTTTTTTCGGCTTCATTGACATTAAGGAATAAAGTTAGCCTAGCCACTACAATTGCTTCGAAGCTTTCACCTGCACAAAGAAAATTGTTTGAGGAAACCTGCTTCGGGCCATGGCTGAGAGTACAGCATCCGGGTGGAGATGCTAATTTGACCCATTTGTGGCTTCAGACCATGACTAGAGATCTACCCGACAGTATACAACGTGGTGAGGAAGAGATATGGTTTCATTTTCCACCGGTGTATACTTGTTTTGGGCGGAAGGAGTTCTGCTTAATCACTGGTCTACGATTCGGACACGATGATGTAGGCCGGTACACTCGTCATATCACCCGCCCATCATGGTTATCCAGGGTTTTTCCTGATGAGTCAATAGAGAACCGAACTTACACGTCGACGATATAAAGAAATTGTTTAATAAGAAAGATGGTTTTACTCGGATGAATGACGTCGATGTTGTCCGAGTATGCCTTCTACAACTTTTGTATGCCGGCTTTTTAGGCAGAGAGGCCAGACAACCTATTCCTCAGGAGCTAATATTATTGGTAGAGGACCTAAATGCATGGAATCTGTTTCCGTGGGGTTCGTATATATGGAAAGCTACCTGGACTAAGTTGTCGTCTGCCTTTGATGACCGCAAAAGTTTACGGGGCGATGGGTCGAAATACACTTTGTCAGGCTTTGTTTGGGCCTTTAAGGTAAGAATTTCTATATAATGTTTTCAAAATTATAATTAATTATTTAACAATTACTAATGTTTGTTATTATATTGTTTGTAGATTTGGATATTCGAGGCCTTTCCCGCCATGAAGACATATGCAATAAAAACTTCAAATGATATTCCCAGGGCTATTTCCTGAAAGAGGAAACGTCTGTTGGATTGGGAAGACTTAATACCATATGCGACAATAAATAATGTAAGTTAACACAAATACTATCATATATAAACAAGTTATTAATAGTAGACGTTTAACTTTGTTTGAGTTTTTATATTTTTAGGAGGCCAACATTCCATTAATTAGACTGATACCCACGGAGGCTGAGCTTGCCACTGATTGGTGGCAAGCTAGTCAGCATTTTCTTGATGGCACGAATGATGAGCAGCCTCCACTTCCTCCACTTCGAGAGCCATCACCTCACCCAGAGCCATCACCTGATCGACCCGACTATACACCTCTACAACGAGATTCATCACCTATCCCGTGCCATCATCGAGCCTCTTCTCCACCATCACCTCATGATAGGTGACCGAAAAATATGCCACGACTTCTATCTCCCTGTTCTCCACCTCCATGTGATGAGTCAAGGGAGTTACGTGATGAGGTCAATGCCTTGCGTGAGGAGATCGATACTCTACTCGATAACGATGGTGCATGGCGTGTGGAGGTGTCTACTTTACGTGGTGAGGTTGCCGCTCTACGTGAGATGGTAGTATCATTGCAGAATGAGGTTCATTCTCTACGCAACGAGGTAAGTTTAAGATTTTCCATATTTAACTTGATGATAAATTTACTCGTAATTTCACTTAAATTAACCATTTCACTTAGATTGCTTAGTAAATTTATTCGGTTGCTGCCAATACTGCTAAACTGTTTATTAACACTGTGAAGTTAGTATTTGTCTTTTTGTTTTGTCTTTTGGTTGAAGTAAATTTATTCGGTTGCTGCCAATTCTGCTAAACTGTGTATTCTTTAACACTGTGAAGTTAGTATTTGTCTTTTTTTTGTCTTTTTGTTGAAAGTTTGAAATATATTTGTCTTTATTTTCACTGTTTAAATATCATGTCTGTTTATTTACTGATATTTGTATTTAATTATTTAGCGGACCGATAAGGTGGATGCTTTACGTCGGGTTTTTCTTGCACGACAGAGTTCACGCATTAGACGGCGTGCACGTGCTATTAAGTCTCTGTATACCCCAATAGTGCGAAGACACCGCAAGAAGAAGCCCGACTCGCCTGTCATCCCTCAAGAGTCCACTCCTATCGTTGAAGAGGCCCCTATCATTCCTCGAGAGTCCCCTCCCACCGTTCAAGAGGCCACTGTCATCCCTCAAGAGTCCACTCCTATCGTTGAAGAGGCCCCTATCATTCCTCGAGAGTCCCCTCCCACCGTTCAAGAGGCCACTGCATCGTTGAAGAGGTCCCTCCCACCATTTAAGAGCCCGATTCACATGGCGTCATATGTAGGATTCTTGAGAAACCCTCTAACGTGCCGGACATGATGGATTCAAGTTGGCTCTCGTATGAGTTACCGGCCAGTACCATACCGGTATCTGAAGTGGAGAGGAAACAACTACCGGATACAATTCTGGATAACACCCTTTGGGCTAAGAACGCAGTTGATTTTTATCTACATGAGCGAAGCCAGGGGTGTTTCACTGACATATGCAAGCTCAATGATGA